GCAAAGCCAAGGCCGCAAGAAGGAGCAAAGCAAAATGCGGGGTTCAATTCCAGCTTCCCGTTGGCAGGCAGATAGCTGTTCAGGCGCTTCCAGGAAAACGGGGCCCATCACGTGTGGCAGTTTGCTGGCAAGACAAACGGCACCGCTCGCAAGATGCCCTCATGCCTCCTTCCCAGGTTGGCTTTTACTGCGGAGCATGTCGGTAGGCGGTGCGGAATACGCCCTTGCTTCAGTTTGGGCCAGGGGCCCCGGCTGTGTTCCCCCGCAGCCTCCCCCGACTTCTTGTGCAACTCCAGCCTCCTGGCATGAAGGAGAGCATAAGAAGCAGAAACATCCTCGGTTTCTGTGGAAGCAGTGCTCTGCTACAGCACTTAATGTGGCTGTGTGATCAGCACTGTTTGCGCCCCAGTTCCCAAACCTGCTTGACAGGTGCCTGCCAGGAGGAAAAGACCTCTGCCCTAGCCAGACCCAGCACAATTCCCTAGCGTAGTGCAGCAGCACAAACAGAGAGTAGCAGCACTGCTGTTAGAGTGTCGCCTACGCTGCATCCGGTGGCACGGGGACGTAATGTCGTGGCTTACGGGCCCTGAGTCTGCCGAGGCGCTTCCAAAGGAAGGGGCTCTACTTCTGCCCAAAGGCTGCCGCAGCAGAAGGCTGCGCAGAGGAGGATGCTCTGCTTATGCACAGCGTTTCCACCTACGCAGAAGGTAGCTACTCAGAATGCTCTGTGGGGAAATGCATCCTTGGATTAACAGTATCGTCCGGGCCGCACAGTTGCATAGAAGCACCTGCGTTTCTACGTCAGAGCCCTCCCTGACGTACGTGAAGGAAGCGGGCAGCCATTCAGGGGCAGACCTGAGAAGACCGCGACATTACAAAAACTTGACTCAGGCAATCTCAGAGGGCGCGGGAACACGTGGGTTACAGAGTGTCCCCAAATGGCGGCTCCTCTCCGTGGAAGGCAGACGGATACAAAATGGCGCCCCCCTATGTGGGCATGGGGGAGGGATTTCCTGTGCTGGGCCCTCCTACCCCCGGGCGGGCCGATTGACGTTGGGATCCGCCCTTCACCGGAGGCTTTTTCCCAGCCCGGCACGCAGTCGGCACAGCGCTGCCAGCTGCTGACCAGGAAGAGCGGCGGGCCGGAGACGGAGGTCTGTGGAGCAGGAGCAGCAGCTTTACACGCCAGAGCGTTCCGTGCCTGGCTGCCCGAGTGGTAAGAGGTGCTCCGTTGCGCAAGGGGCGTAGTCAGGAGGGCTTGAAACTGCAGATTCCCGTATAGGGTGGGGGCTCTCTGAGAGTTCTGGGGAGCCGTTCCGTCCCCGTTTTGGGAGGGCAAGCCAGACAGCTGCTGTTGTTAGCAGGGAAGGTGAGAGAGCCGTAGAGCTGCACCTTGTGACTGTGTTTGTGCGCTCCAGGGCGTGCTGATGCCCAAGAGCCATCTCTTGTCTGCATAGCAAAGGAAGGACAAGGCCCCACGTTCTTCGGGAGGGGTGTGTGTCAGGCTAATCCTGTCCCCTCTGGCTTCAAGCCACACACTCGATTGGAAATGCGGGGCTGAATCGTGCTGCGGCACCTGCGGCCTGAGAGGTACCGAAGAACAGGGCTGGTGGGCCCAAAGGCCGTGATTGGCAAGTGGCCTTTCCGTTTCAGACAGAAGTGTGCTTTCTAAGGCATATCCGTACCTTTAACTTCTGTCTGCAGAGATGTGTCTGTGGGTTACTTATCGCTGTTGGGGTATAACCCTCGATGCCCGGCTAAAGAGCAGAAAGTTGTTTGCTCTCCCTCCCCGGCCGACACCGCGGACAGTACCGGCAAGGTGAAAGTGCGAGGAGTCACGGGAGAGGCTGAAGGCAGTTTCCTAGGCAAAGCCAAGGCCGCAAGAAGGAGCAAAGCAAAATGCGGGGTTCAATTCCAGCTTCCCGTTGGCAGGCAGATAGCTGTTCAGGCGCTTCCAGGAAAACGGGGCCCATCACGTGTGGCAGTTTGCTGGCAAGACAAACGGCATCGCTCGCAAGATGCCCTCATGCCTCCTTCCCAGGTTGGCTTTTACTGCGGAGCATGTCGGTAGGCGGTGCGGAATATGCCCTTGCTTCAGTTTGGGCCAGGGGCCCCGGCTGTGTTCCCCCGCAGCCTCCCCCGACTTCTTGTGCAACTCCAGCCTCCTGGCATGAAGGAGAGCATAAGAAGCAGAAACATCCTCGGTTTCTGTGGAAGCAGTGCTCTGCTACAGCACTTAATGTGGCTGTGTGATCAGCACTGTTTGCGCCCCAGTTCCCAAACCTGCTTGACAGGTGCCTGCCAGGAGGAAAAGACCTCTGCCCTAGCCAGACCCAGCACAATTCCCTAGCGTAGTGCAGCAGCACAAACAGAGAGTAGCAGCACTGCTGTTAGAGTGTCGCCTACGCTGCATCCGGTGGCACGGGGACGTAATGTCGTGGCTTACGGGCCCTGAGTCTGCCGAGGCGCTTCCAAAGGAAGGGGCTCTACTTCTGCCCAAAGGCTGCCGCAGCAGAAGGCTGCGCAGAGGAGGATGCTCTGCTTATGCACAGCGTTTCCACCTACGCAGAAGGTAGCTACTCAGAATGCTCTGTGGGGAAATGCATCCTTGGATTAACAGTATCGTCCGGGCCGCACAGTTGCATAGAAGCACCTGCGTTTCTACGTCAGAGCCCTCCCTGACGTACGTGAAGGAAGCGGGCAGCCATTCAGGGGCAGACCTGAGAAGACCGCGACATTACAAAAACTTGACTCAGGCAATCTCAGAGGGCGCGGGAACACGTGGGTTACAGAGTGTCCCCAAATGGCGGCTCCTCTCCGTGGAAGGCAGACGGATACAAAATGGCGCCCCCCTATGTGGGCATGGGGGAGGGATTTCCTGTGCTGGGCCCTCCTACCCCCGGGCGGGCCGATTGACGTTGGGATCCGCCCTTCACCGGAGGCTTTTTCCCAGCCCGGCACGCAGTCGGCACAGCGCTGCCAGCTGCTGACCAGGAAGAGCGGCGGGCCGGAGACGGAGGTCTGTGGAGCAGGAGCAGCAGCTTTACACGCCAGAGCGTTCCGTGCCTGGCTGCCCGAGTGGTAAGAGGTGCTCCGTTGCACAAGGGGCGTAGTCAAGAGGGCTTGAAACTGCAGATTCCCGTATAGGGTGGGGGCTCTCTGAGAGTTCTGGGGAGCCGTTCCGTCCCCGTTTTGGGAGGGCAAGCCAGACAGCTGCTGTTGTTAGCAGGGAAGGTGAGAGAGCCGTAGAGCTGCACCTTGTGACTGTGTTTGTGCGCTCCAGGGCGTGCTGATGCCCAAGAGCCATCTCTTGTCTGCATAGCAAAGGAAGGACAAGGCCCCACGTTCTTCGGGAGGGGTGTGTGTCAGGCTAATCCTGTCCCCTCTGGCTTCAAGCCACACACTCGATTGGAAATGCGGGGCTGAATCGTGCTGCGGCACCTGCGGCCTGAGAGGTACCGAAGAACAGGGCTGGTGGGCCCAAAGGCCGTGATTGGCAAGTGGCCTTTCCGTTTCAGACAGAAGTGTGCTTTCTAAGGCATATCCGTACCTTTAACTTCTGTCTGCAGAGATGTGTCTGTGGGTTACTTATCGCTGTTGGGGTATAACCCTCGATGCCCGGCTAAAGAGCAGAAAGTTGTTTGCTCTCCCTCCCCGGCCGACACCGCGGACAGTACCGGCAAGGTGAAAGTGCGAGGAGTCACGGGAGAGGCTGAAGGCAGTTTCCTAGGCAAAGCCAAGGCCGCAAGAAGGAGCAAAGCAAAATGCGGGGTTCAATTCCAGCTTCCCGTTGGCAGGCAGATAGCTGTTCAGGCGCTTCCAGGAAAACGGGGCCCATCACGTGTGGCAGTTTGCTGGCAAGACAAACGGCACCGCTCGCAAGATGCCCTCATGCCTCCTTCCCAGGTTGGCTTTTACTGCGGAGCATGTCGGTAGGCGGTGTGGAATACGCCCTTGCTTCAGTTTGGGCCAGGGGCCCCGGCTGTGTTCCCCCGCAGCCTCCCCCGACTTCTTGTGCAACTCCAGCCTCCTGGCATGAAGGAGAGCATAAGAAGCAGAAACATCCTCGGTTTCTGTGGAAGCAGTGCTCTGCTACAGCACTTAATGTGGCTGTGTGATCAGCACTGTTTGCGCCCCAGTTCCCAAACCTGCTTGACAGGTGCCTGCCAGGAGGAAAAGACCTCTGCCCTAGCCAGACCCAGCACAATTCCCTAGCGTAGTGCAGCAGCACAAACAGAGAGTAGCAGCACTGCTGTTAGAGTGTCGCCTACGCTGCATCCGGTGGCACGGGGACGTAATGTCGTGGCTTACGGGCCCTGAGTCTGCCGAGGCGCTTCCAAAGGAAGGGGCTCTACTTCTGCCCAAAGGCTGCCGCAGCAGAAGGCTGCGCAGAGGAGGATGCTCTGCTTATGCACAGCGTTTCCACCTACGCAGAAGGTAGCTACTCAGAATGCTCTGTGGGGAAATGCATCCTTGGATTAACAGTATCGTCCGGGCCGCACAGTTGCATAGAAGCACCTGCGTTTCTACGTCAGAGCCCTCCCTGACGTACGTGAAGGAAGCGGGCAGCCATTCAGGGGCAGACCTGAGAAGACCGCGACATTACAAAAACTTGACTCAGGCAATCTCAGAGGGCGCGGGAACACGTGGGTTACAGAGTGTCCCCAAATGGCGGCTCCTCTCCGTGGAAGGCAGACGGATACAAAATGGCGCCCCCCTATGTGGGCATGGGGGAGGGATTTCCTGTGCTGGGCCCTCCTACCCCCGGGCGGGCCGATTGACGTTGGGATCCCCCCTTCACCGGAGGCTTTTTCCCAGCCCGGCACGCAGTCGGCACAGCGCTGCCAGCTGCTGACCAGGAAGAGCGGCGGGCCGGAGACAGAGGTCTGTGGAGCAGGAGCAGCAGCTTTACACGCCAGAGCGTTCCGTGCCTGGCTGCCCGAGTGGTAAGAGGTGCTCCGTTGCACAAGGGGCGTAGTCAAGAGGGCTTGAAACTGCAGATTCCCGTATAGGGTGGGGGCTCTCTGAGAGTTCTGGGGAGCCGTTCCGTCCCCGTTTTGGGAGGGCAAGCCAGACAGCTGCTGTTGTTAGCAGGGAAGGTGAGAGAGCCGTAGAGCTGCACCTTGTGACTGTGTTTGTGCGCTCCAGGGCGTGCTGATGCCCAAGAGCCATCTCTTGTCTGCATAGCAAAGGAAGGACAAGGCCCCACGTTCTTCGGGAGGGGTGTGTGTCAGGCTAATCCTGTCCCCTCTGGCTTCAAGCCACACACTCGATTGGAAATGCGGGGCTGAATCGTGCTGCGGCACCTGCGGCCTGAGAGGTACCGAAGAACAGGGCTGGTGGGCCCAAAGGCCGTGATTGGCAAGTGGCCTTTCCGTTTCAGACAGAAGTGTGCTTTCTAAGGCATATCCGTACCTTTAACTTCTGTCTGCAGAGATGTGTCTGTGGGTTACTTATCGCTGTTGGGGTATAACCCTCGATGCCCGGCTAAAGAGCAGAAAGTTGTTTGCTCTCCCTCCCCGGCCGACACCGCGGACAGTACCGGCAAGGTGAAAGTGCGAGGAGTCACGGGAGAGGCTGAAGGCAGTTTCCTAGGCAAAGCCAAGGCCGCAAGAAGGAGCAAAGCAAAATGCGGGGTTCAATTCCAGCTTCCCGTTGGCAGGCAGATAGCTGTTCAGGCGCTTCCAGGAAAACGGGGCCCATCACGTGTGGCAGTTTGCTGGCAAGACAAACGGCATCGCTCGCAAGATGCCCTCATGCCTCCTTCCCAGGTTGGCTTTTACTGCGGAGCATGTCGGTAGGCGGTGCGGAATATGCCCTTGCTTCAGTTTGGGCCAGGGGCCCCGGCTGTGTTCCCCCGCAGCCTCCCCCGACTTCTTGTGCAACTCCAGCCTCCTGGCATGAAGGAGAGCATAAGAAGCAGAAACATCCTCGGTTTCTGTGGAAGCAGTGCTCTGCTACAGCACTTAATGTGGCTGTGTGATCAGCACTGTTTGCGCCCCAGTTCCCAAACCTGCTTGACAGGTGCCTGCCAGGAGGAAAAGACCTCTGCCCTAGCCAGACCCAGCACAATTCCCTAGCGTAGTGCAGCAGCACAAACAGAGAGTAGCAGCACTGCTGTTAGAGTGTCGCCTACGCTGCATCCGGTGGCACGGGGACGTAATGTCGTGGCTTACGGGCCCTGAGTCTGCCGAGGCGCTTCCAAAGGAAGGGGCTCTACTTCTGCCCAAAGGCTGCCGCAGCAGAAGGCTGCGCAGAGGAGGATGCTCTGCTTATGCACAGCGTTTCCACCTACGCAGAAGGTAGCTACTCAGAATGCTCTGTGGGGAAATGCATCCTTGGATTAACAGTATCGTCCGGGCCGCACAGTTGCATAGAAGCACCTGCGTTTCTACGTCAGAGCCCTCCCTGACGTACGTGAAGGAAGCGGGCAGCCATTCAGGGGCAGACCTGAGAAGACCGCGACATTACAAAAACTTGACTCAGGCAATCTCAGAGGGCGCGGGAACACGTGGGTTACAGAGTGTCCCCAAATGGCGGCTCCTCTCCGTGGAAGGCAGACGGATACAAAATGGCGCCCCCCTATGTGGGCAGGGGGGAGGGATTTCCTGTGCTGGGCCCTCCTACCCCCGGGCGGGCCGATTGACGTTGGGATCCGCCCTTCACCGGAGGCTTTTTCCCAGCCCGGCACGCAGTCGGCACAGCGCTGCCAGCTGCTGACCAGGAAGAGCGGCGGGCCGGAGACGGAGGTCTGTGGAGCAGGAGCAGCAGCTTTACACGCCAGAGCGTTCCGTGCCTGGCTGCCCGAGTGGTAAGAGGTGCTCTGTTGCGCAAGGGGCGTAGTCGGGAGGGCTTGAAACTGCAGATTCCCGGAGAGTTCGGGGAGCCGTTCCGTCCCCGTTTTGGGAGGGCAAGCCAGACAGCTGCTGTTGTTAGCAGGGAAGGTGAGAGAGCCGTAGAGCTGCACCTTGTGACTGTGTTTGTGCGCTCCAGGGCGTGCTGATGCCCAAGAGCCATCTCTTGTCTGCATAGCAAAGGAAGGACAAGGCCCCACGTTCTTCGGGAGGGGTGTGTGTCAGGCTAATCCTGTCCCCTCTGGCTTCAAGCCACACACTCGATTGGAAATGCGGGGCTGAATCGTGCTGCGGCACCTGCGGCCTGAGAGGTACCGAAGAACAGGGCTGGTGGGCCCAAAGGCCGTGATTGGCAAGTGGCCTTTCCGTTTCAGACAGAAGTGTGCTTTCTAAGGCATATCCGTACCTTTAACTTCTGTCTGCAGAGATGTGTCTGTGGGTTACTTATCGCTGTTGGGGTATAACCCTCGATGCCCGGCTAAAGAGCAGAAAGTTGTTTGCTCTCCCTCCCCGGCCGACACCGCGGACAGTACCGGCAAGGTGAAAGTGCGAGGAGTCACGGGAGAGGCTGAAGGCAGTTTCCTAGGCAAAGCCAAGGCCGCAAGAAGGAGCAAAGCAAAATGCGGGGTTCAATTCCAGCTTCCCGTTGGCAGGCAGATAGCTGTTCAGGCGCTTCCAGGAAAACGGGGCCCATCACGTGTGGCAGTTTGCTGGCAAGACAAACGGCACCGCTCGCAAGATGCCCTCATGCCTCCTTCCCAGGTTGGCTTTTACTGCGGAGCATGTCGGTGGGCGGTGCGGAATACGCCCTTGCTTCAGTTTGGACCAGGGGCCCCGGCTGTGTTCCCCCGTAGACTTCTTGTGCAACTCCAACCTCCTGGCATGAAGGAGAGCATAAGAAGCAGAAACATCCTCGGTTTCTGTGGAAGCAGTGCTCTGCTACAGCACTTAATGTGGCTGTGTGATCAGCACTGTTTGCGCCCCAGTTCCCAAACCTGCTTGACAGGTGCCTGCCAGGAGGAAAAGACCTCTGCCCTAGCCAGACCCAGCACAATTCCCTAGCGTAGTGCAGCAGCACAAACAGAGAGTAGCAGCACTGCTGTTAGAGTGTCGCCTACGCTGCATCCGGTGGCACGGGGACGTAATGTCGTGGCTTACGGGCCCTGAGTCTGCCGAGGCGCTTCCAAAGGAAGGGGCTCTACTTCTGCCCAAAGGCTGCCGCAGCAGAAGGCTGCGCAGAGGAGGATGCTCTGCTTATGCACAGCGTTTCCACCTACGCAGAAGGTAGCTACTCAGAATGCTCTGTGGGGAAATGCATCCTTGGATTAACAGTATCGTCCGGGCCGCACAGTTGCATAGAAGCACCTGCGTTTCTACGTCAGAGCCCTCCCTGACGTACGTGAAGGAAGCGGGCAGCCATTCAGGGGCAGACCTGAGAAGACCGCGACATTACAAAAACTTGACTCAGGCAATCTCAGAGGGCGCGGGAACACGTGGGTTACAGAGTGTCCCCAAATGGCGGCTCCTCTCCATGGAAGGCAGACGGATACAAAATGGCGCCCCCCTATGTGGGCATGGGGGAGGGATTTCCTGTGCTGGGCCCTCCTACCCCCGGGCGGGCCGATTGACGTTGGGATCCGCCCTTCACCGGAGGCTTTTTCCCAGCCCGGCACGCAGTCGGCACAGCGCTGCCAGCTGCTGACCAGGAAGAGCGGCGGGCCGGAGACGGAGGTCTGTGGAGCAGGAGCAGCAGCTTTACACGCCAGAGCGTTCCGTGCCTGGCTGCCCGAGTGGTAAGAGGTGCTCCGTTGCGCAAGGGGCGTAGTCAGGAGGGCTTGAAACTGCAGATTCCCGGATAGGGAGGGGGGCTCTCTGAGAGTTCTGGGGAGCCGTTCCGTTCCCGTTTTGGGAGGGCAAGCCAGACAGCTGCTGTTGTTAGCAGGGAAGGTGAGAGAGCCGTAGAGCTGCACCTTGTGACTGTGTTTGTGCGCTCCAGGGCGTGCTGATGCCCAAGAGCCATCTCTTGTCTGCATAGCAAAGGAAGGACAAGGCCCCACGTTCTTCGGGAGGGGTGTGTGTCAGGCTAATCCTGTTCCGGAAAACGGGGCACATCATGTGTTGCAGTTTGCTGGCAAGACAAACCACATCGCTCGCAGTTCGCCCTCATGCCTCCTTCCGAGTTTGGCTTTTACTGTGGAGCATGTCGGTAAGCGGTGCGGAATGCTCCTTTGCTTCAGTTTGGGCCATGGGCCCAGGCTGTGTTCCCCCACAGCCTCCCCCGACTTTTTGTGCAACTCCATCCTTCTTGTTTAGCTGTTATTTGATGTTGATTGATTGCCTTCCTGTTTTGTTGTTCTTCTTTGGAGAAAGAGGATACCTCCTCTTGGCTTCTTTTTAATTCATTTTTTGTGGCATTTTTACTATTTCTTTTCAGCGATCTTCACAATAGCCTTTTTCTTCTGAGGTGCTCCCAATACCCGGATAGGAGTTCTCCCGATTCTGTGGTATTCTGTATTATACCTTACCAGTTTGATATTTACCCTTTTAATCCTCCTTGGATTTTGGTACTGTCTCCAAATAATTCTCACTATTTCTGGAATTATTTTGTGCTCTCCCATCTCTTCCTATCCTCCATAAACCTTTACCCTAACTAACTAACACCTGCTCATTAAATTTCTTCCTTTATGATATTCAAGCCCAGAAATGGGAGTGTTATTACTTTCCTTAACAGCAGCCATTGTTACATATGGAAATGTTAGGTTGTTCCAGAAGCAGGGAGAATCACTCTGTTAGCAGTAACAAATAAAAACGTATAACACAAAACATAGTACTATGGCAACAAAAATACAAAATGTAACATCACACAGCATCCTCTTGTCACAGACACCACCCTGTGTACACTGAAATAAAGCAAATTAGTAACCAGCTCATCTTTTCCTTATGAGTTTAACTTCTGACAGTGTGCATTCCTTGACAGACCAACTAGTTCCTCAGCGTCTTGGAATAACCTCCCATAACAATACTTCAGTTACTCCACATGCCTTATTGGTTTACAAATGAATGCCTCTGGCCACTGTAAAGACATATCAGTACCAACATACAGCAACACCTTCCTCCCCTTTTTTGGGGAGTTCTGAGAAATCAATTTGCCATTGTTGCTTTCCCTTCTAAATTATTAATTAGATTCCTATCTTCTCTAGAATATTTTACAGGTTCTGAGTTTTTTATTTACAGGTTCTTCAGGTTTAGAGATTTTAAGTTTACTGTCTGGAATTAAAGCCTTCTTCAACTACCTGTTCTGACACCTGATTCATCATGTTATTTCTAATTTCCTGTACAGTGTTACCCTCCTGATGTCCTGTTACAATGTATAACAGCCATAGTCTTTGGTAGATTTGCATCATGCTGTTTTCCTTGTGTATACAATCCTTGCTCTTTTCATATGGAATTGTGATGTGTAGCATCCCAAATATATAATAAGCATCTGTCCATACAATTAAGGCTCTTGTCCAGGCAGTTATTTTGGCCTGTTGAGGGAAAGTCTGCTCAGGTAATGGTTATGTTTCAATTACCCTGTCAGTTGCAGCTACTGCACGTCCTGACTTACTGCTACCATTGGTAAACCAGGTGCCTTCTGCATCTTCTAAGGATTTGTCCTTCGGGTCCGACTGGCTGGAATATGCAGCTTCAGTTGTTTCAAAGTAGTCATGAAATACTTGTTCCCTAGGATTTCTGCTAAGGAAAGATACTGGGTTGACAATATTAGTTACAATTATCCTGCTCTGCTAGGATGGCCTGGGATTTCAGGAATCTTTGGGGTGAGTGCCAATGCCCCCCTTTTATCTCCAGTACGGTAGACACTGTATGAGACATCAAAACTGTTATTCTATGGCCTAGCATAACTTGACTTGTTTCTTGAGTATTGAGTTTTAGTGCAGCCACTGCCCTCAAACACCCCAGCCATTCCTTACTCACTTCATCAAACTGTTTGGAGAAATGTGCCACTGCCCTTTGATAAGATCCAAGATTCTGTGCAAGGACTCCAAGGGCTATTCCTTGTTTTTCATGCAAGTTGGTAGCCCCAAAGCAGAGGGCCTTCATTCTTATTTCAGCTGAGGGAATGCCCACCTTGCCTCCCCATTTCATATAAGATTTTGGCTTTACCAATAGTCCGTAGCTGTGTATCCACGGTGGGCACCATCCTGTCATTCCCGGGAATGTACAGATTTCCTCAGCAGTTGGTGACTCAGGGGTTTGGCAGATGGCTTCTTTCCTGACAGTCCTTAAGGTGATGGAGCACTGGAACAGGCTGCCCAGGGGAGTTGTGGAGTCTCCTTCTCTAGAGATATTCAAGTCTCGCCTGAACGCCTACTTGTGTGACCTTGTTTAGGGAACCTGCTTTGGCAGGGGGGTTGGTCTCGATGATCTGTACAGGTCTCTTCCAACCCCTACAATTCTGTGATTCTGTGATCCCATATATGTCTTTCTGTTGAGAAACTTGATAATCATTTAAACAAGAAATTCAGCAAACTCACAGTCCATTGTACACAGTCCTCTTTTGCTTTTTTGTGACATCCACATACTACAGTAAGTTTCCACCCTGGGATGGAGGAACCCATGTCTCAGGTTCACAAGTTGACCAGCTCTCAAAAAAGTCATTGAGCAGTTCTCACAACCCTGGGTAACACTGTTCAGATTAATTTAGTCTTTTCACCCCATCTTGGGGTTTTCCTATTCAAAGGCAAATAACCTTAGGCTTCCTCCAGCCAAACCAGGCAGAAAAGGCATCCTTCCAATCCAGAAAGTAAATTCCACCTACTAATTCTTTAACTTGGTTAATAAAGTGTACAGATTTTTCACCACTGAGTGTATACATTCAACTATTTTATAACTTGCCCTCAAATCTTGTCCCAGACTGTAGCACTTCTTTTGCAATTTTTTTCATCAGCAGGTTTGGAGTACTGTGTTTGGATTCATATTCAATTAGTAATCCAAAGCCCAAAAATTATATATTATTTCTTTTATGTGTATACAGTCACATATCCTTAAAGGGCACTGCTTTACCCTGATTGGGCTAACTCTTGCTTTTAACTTCTATTCAGGGCTGCATTTTTGGCTCTACCAGGTATCCCTGATGCCCACACTCCTAAGGTATCTTATTCAAGATTCCGTTAACTTCTGGGGCTACAACCTTGTTTTTCCCAGTTTGTGTTAAAGGCAGACTTACAATTCTCAATCAGTTAATATTCTTTGATCTTTAGATCCAGATTTATTTAATTTCTTGCCAGAGTAATCTGGCATGTACAAGAATTTATGCATTCCCACTTGTTTTCTCAGCGTATATTTAATTGATCCCAGAAAGTAAGCCTTTTCTTATTGGGTATTAGCTCCTATTACTGTTACAAAATCATCTACGGGTGGTAAGAGGCACCCATACCCACCAAAAGATAAACCTCTTTATCCTGCTCCCCTCTCTTCAGTCCTGACATCCCTGTCACACCCTGTTCATCTTTTGCCTTCCTCAGCCTGTGTCTTTTCCAAACTTTCCACTTTCCAAACTCATAATTACATTAACTACTAACATCATATTTCAGTTTTACCTCCTCCTCTCCAGAGGCTTCCAGTGCTAACACTGGCATTTTGGGTTTCTTAGATCTCTGCAGAGGCTATTCTCAGTTCCAGTGCCCTATCCTCTCCAACTCCCCCTTTGCAAGTAATGTTGTTTACAACAGCACTCTCCATCTGTAGCTCACTCTCTCACACAAAGTTCTGCTCACGGAGGAAAAGTGCTGAGCAGGGGTGGGGGTGAGGGGGGAGGGGGGGGAGGGGTTACTCTCATGCCAGCACAGATAATCTCACTTTTTCTTTAACATTTTTTTCCTTTGTATGTTATTCCACTATTCGTACCCTCAATTACACTTCCACAAATCCTCAATTCTACTTCTGTATACCATTAACAATTACACTTTCTTCTACCATCAAAACAGTTTGTCCCATTCCCTCCAAAATCCACAAATCAAAAAATACAGATCCTCAACTTCCACAGACACCCAGCACTTGGTCTCATGATTAGGGTACTCAATTATAAAACTGATCCCATTATTCCATTTATGTTCCTGGTTTCTTATTCTATAGTCCCCCTGGCTCACCAGCAATGTTTCTCCAGTGAGCCAAAATACAACCCAGGGGGTCTTCTCAGTGACACTTTAGGCACCCCTTGTTCCATAACAGCCTCGTAGGTAACACTTTCATGACATAAACATTGACCAATCACAAAGACAGTGACAATAATCAGTACAATTTATCCTCAGGATCCTTCCTCTCTCTGCCACCCTCTAGGGCTAAACCTTGCCTCTGTATTCCCTTATTGTGATCAGTAACGTGTGTACTTCCATAATAATCCTAATCTGTAACTTTCATTTAAACAGAGAAAATTTATATGCACAAAACAAATAACACAGAGAACAAAAACAACTTCGGTTTTGTCTGTATCTGGCTGTTTCCCTCGCAAGAGAACGAAATGGTGGATCGGGACTCTACTCTTGCTCTGTAGCTTAGCTATGTCTCACTCTCGCCACACTCACTCAATACTGGCTTGGTCAAAGTATTAAGTTTGAAATTTCTTAGTTCATAGTCCTAATTTCCTCGGAGGATAACCCAAATATTCTGATGGTATTAATTCAGATACACAGTAACAAACATCTACAACAGATGTTAACAGCAATTGTACAACCTATGACTCCTGTTATCACAACCGGAAGAACCCAGACAACCATTTAACAGGATGCTCACTATACCCTGCCCTGTTACCCTGCATACGACTTACAAGGTCCGTTTCTGGGTGCACACCCAAGGAGCTGCTCACCAGAGTCTGCCCACCCCAGCCAGCAACCTTTCAAACCTGTAACCTCACTAACCAACACAGGGGCAGCAGCAATGGCTATTCCCAGTGTAGGATGTCTCCATACAGCTTACTGGTTCCCCACATTACGTACACATATTTGGTCCCCAGACGGATGGTCTTTATCAGATCCTACAGTGATTGGATGAAGAAGGGGAGTTCTTCAGAGAAATCTCGGGGTGTGCCTAAAGGCATACCTCCTCTCAACAGATCCTGCACCTGAGCAGAGGATGTCCCATCTGGGATGCCAAACTGACATGAGGAATCAAATTCTATAATCGTAGCAAGATTACAAAGCACGTACACTTTATTTAGTGCTACACAAACACCGAGGGCAAGGGGAATAGACCTACCTAACTTGCACATCATCTGGAAAAATTGTGCAAAATAAAGGCGAAAATAATACATAATAAACAGATTTCATGGCATTTGGTTACATATTCACTACACACCTGAGAGTTTGTTAGCATGCAGACCAAACCCTCTTGAGTGCGCAGAGTGGGTCGTGGGATGAAGATTTCTTGTTTCCTTGCAAAAGCTTCAGACGTTTCTTGCAGTACACTTCTGAACATTTGGGGGGGCATCCACCAAAGGTGGTATCTTCTTGACTTCTCAGCATATAATCACTTCCCTGCCAAATGACATAAGACTGTTCTCAAACCCTTACATGTATGAGCTACATCCACGTCCAAAGAACAAGAAACTAACATTCATTACATTATAATAACCCCAATATTTCCTCACGGATAAACTACATCTAAAAACTCCCAAAAAAATCTCACTATAAGTGAATCATTCTTACCATAATAATTACAATTCCGCAGACCTTCTAAAATTTGAGCAAAAACTCCTGCAGCAATAAAATGCTCAATAGTCAAGCAGAAGGGGGTGCAGTGATACACACTGTATGAAGCCAGGTAAACTCACAGGGCAGAAAGCCAGACATTTTATCAGGGAAAGCAAAAGCCCGGCCCGCACAACAAGGAAAACGGGCAACACAATCGCTGCTTCCCATCCGCAGGCAGGCCAATATTCAGCCACATCCAGGAACAGACGGCTCATTGCACGGAACAATCTCTTGGGAAGGCAACAGCATCCATCCCACCTTGACCCAGGCCTCCTGCTTGACACCTCCAGCTTTCCTTGCTGAGCGTGACATCCCGGCCAGTCTGGGCCGCCAGCTGTGTGGCTCTGTCTCCTGGCTGTGGCCGCTGCCAGCTTCTGCTCTGTCCCCTGCCTCCTCACGGGATGAACCGCACGAGAAGCAGAAAAGTCCTTGGCTCTGTGCAAGCACTGTTCTGCAACAGCTACAAACGTGCCTGTCTTAGGCACCCGTGTTCTCGTGAAAAGAATCCAAGCACCAGCACGCGGGAGACTCTGCAAGGCCCAGACCCTCCACCCCAGGCCAAATCACAACACTTATAGTACTGCAGTACTGCAGAGTGTCGGACAGTCTCTGGAGCACCTACTGCTAAGGAAACGCAATAGATGGACTGCCGTGTCTCAGGTGCGTTCCCTAGGGGTCCCTGTGAGCACATTTTGCTGCGCGGGCCTGACCTTGGCCGGCAGCCCCATGCCCACACAGCCACTCTCGCACTC